ATTTTATCTAGTGCTAAATATTCTGTTTTTATTTGTATATTAATAAGATTAATATATTTTGTTACATAAAATGACTATGACCCCAGCTTTTTTGATACAAAAACAGCAGCACAGAGAAAAAAAAGGAGAGACACACATCCATCTTGCCATCCTTATGAGGACTTCACACACACACAGCGCTCACAGGTGCTCTGCCCCATTCTGCTGCTCCCGTTTTTAACACCAGGCAAAAAATGTTTTTAAAACAGCTGACGTTAACTTTAGATCACAGTTTGAAACGCTCCAGCATTTTTAAAAAGAAAAACAACACGAACACGCTGATTACAGTGTGGGATGAAAGTGAAAGTAAAACATGGTGCTGAGCACCCGTTCGGTAAAGAAACTTAAACACAGCTGTTCTTTCTCCCCTCATATTCCGACACAGAGGGGAGAAACAGATAAATTAGACAGTTAAAACACATTTACAGTTCATAACTCACCCTTTTTGTGACATTCATCCTGTGTTGTCTGCAAGCACTTTCTGCCCTGCTGTGGGTCCATTTCCTTGAAAAATAAAACTTAACCAGGCACTTTGAAGAAGCTCTGATACTGGTAGTTTATGTAGACAATAATGTGGGTTTACACACCCTAGAACCGAACATTTTGACTTCTGAACTTGTATATTCGGCATGATGCTATGAACTACAAAATCACACAGCGAGGAAAAAAATGGCGGACAATGAAATCCAGTTGGCCGGAAATACATTACCATAAATGGTAGTTCTGAAGAAAAACGTGTGACGAAATAAGCAATGAAACGTAATAAGCAACAGCAGATTTAGAACAAACTGAAATATTTGACCCATAAAATAATATAAAAATATCTTAGCAGTAACTGGACAGAATAAATTAAAGTTTTCTACACTCCTAGACACTATAACTGCACAAAAAAGTGCATTTGGCATGATATGTCTCCTTTAATTAATCTCAGGGAGCCTCGCTGCTGCTCAGATTGGGTTTGGTCCTCTTTGTAACATTGGCATGTGAGCAGTAGTAGTCGTGCACGTCTCTGGTGAGCAGGGAAAACAACAGACGGTTACTGTTTTAATGGCTGTTAGCTCGAAAACACTAAATATAAAACATGATTGAAATGAAAAACAAATCTTCAAGTAGATTCCTGCAACACATGCAAGCTGGACCTGCAGCTTTTCATGAGACATGAGAAGATAAGCTATGGTTGTTGGAGGAAATCTTAAATTTAAGCTAGCTTATAAATTTGCAGGTTAGGACTAGTAAAGTTGGTTAGATGTTAGGTTAATTGTGCAAAAGTAGGTGTGACTTGGAAATGTTCAGACCTGCCTGCTGTGCCTCTGATGTCTTCTATGTGTCCATCTCATATTTATACTATAACTTGCAGAATTCATTCAGTTGCAGTTTCTTACACTGTTGATAGGCTTCCTTCACACAGGGAACACTGTGTGTGTCGTGGTTATAAAGCTCAGTGGAGAAAGAAGCACAGAGATAGTTTGATGCTGGAAAGCTTTGACAGTTTACCTTGAAAATGCTTGAAAAGTGCTTGAATTTTACTGTGGGAAAAGTGTACAGAAACTGAAAACTGTCCAACTTCCTTTCATGTTAGCAGGAAAGTTGGCATCACGACCATTAAAGCTCAACGAGGCTCACAGAACAGCAGGAAGGCTCTACAGCAGAGAGCGCCACCTTGAGGACCTCAGAAGAACAACAGTTTTTAACTTTGGGCCACAGAGGGCCGTGGGACCACATTGATTTTGAACAAGGTGTAATACACTTTCTCACCACTAGTAGCAGTAGTGCACCACTCAGATGTTTAACAACTTTTTAATATGTAGAAGAAGAACCTTAGAAACCTGCTGAGAATGGAAACTTATTTTAAATGAAAAGTAGAATCAAAAATGTACGGAAGCGTGTTGCTATCAGGCAGGGAAAAAAAATTCCAAGCGCTATCACGTTATAACGTGATA